TTCGACGAATTCAGAATATACTTGTACTCTTTAGGACCCGTCACAAGTATGCTAGAGTAACAAAGTTAGCAAAAATGCAAAACAGAGCAGCCAGGTTTGTCTCGAGTCATTTTGGAAGAAATGACACTTCTACCGAAACGAAAAAGGAATGAAACTGGGAGCCTATTTCATCCTGACGTAAACGGTTACGTTTGAGGTGGTTATATCAAAGAAAAACAGGAATTAACAGCGACATTTACTCAAAACAGCATCATTGCGTATCTAGAGGCACAGATCACATACCAAAGTAAGGCCATACCAGACCAGGATGAACCTGTACGCAAATTCGTTTTTTTTTATGAAAACTATTAATCAGTGGACAAGTCGGCTGTCTGAGCAAGTGTGCAGTAACAATGAAGATGCCTTTTTTAAATGTTTGTAACCCGCCTGCTTTAATAGCTCCGGGCAAACCTGAGTTATGTATGAATAAAGGACAAAGAATAAAGGAATACACGTCAGCTTTATTTCAGGAGTGGAACGCGACAGCGTGTTGAGGCGCTGTATGCATCACCTTTTCAATCGTCGATAGGTTTCATGACTCGGTGGGCACCTCAACCATGTGGCGGGGAGGGATAACGTCTCTGCACGTAATATTGGTTGAGTCAAACCGCCCTATATATAAAGGCTACTGCCGGTGTACGCCCCGCCGCTGAGATCTAGTGGCTAAGGTACTTGGGCTACTGACCCGCAGATCACGGTATCGAATCGCTTCGGTGGCGGCAGCGGCTGAATTTTTGATGGAGGCGAAAATGCTGTAGGCCCGTGTGCTCCTGCAGATTTGGATGCACATTAAAAAACCCCATATGGTCGAAATTTCCGGAGCCCTTCACTACGGTGTCTCTCACAATCATATGGTGGTTTCGGGACGTTAAACCCCATATATCAATCATCATTACTTCCAGTACAGCTGCGATATGCCCACTACGCCATATCTATCTCCGTTTTGCGAAACGACGACGTAACCGCTGCGCATGCCAACACGCGCACCCACACACCCCATTGCTGCTCTCGTCGATAATAAAAAAATATGCCTAAGCAAGTTGTATGGGTGTACTTTTAAACTGCCAAATCATTATGCAATTGTCATATTTGTGTTTGGTTCCTTTGCACCGCAATATTAGCTGCGCTAAACTGTCTCTTTGCACTATATAGCATCTGTGAAGGTGTCGCTGTAAAGAAGGCTTCAAAGACGCTTGAGATTCGCCTTCAAGAGTACAATGGAGTATAACCTTGGACGGTGGCACACACCCAGAATAGAACGCGACAGAGTAATCAGGCGCCGTTCATATCGTATTTTCAATCGCTGACTTGCTTTCATTTTCGGAGACCGACTGACTGAGAGACAGACAGACATACAGACAGACAGACATACAGACAGACAGACAGACAGACAGACAGACAGACAGACAGACAGACAGACAGACAGACAGACAGGCGGGCGGGCGGGCAGGCAGGCGGGCAGGCAGGCAGGCAGGCAGGTGGACAGACGCACAGATGGGTGGACAGACAGACAGACACCCGGATGGACGGCCGGACGCACGGGCGGTCGGACGGACGGAAGTATGGACGAACTGATGGACACATCTTGGTAGGAAGCGCAGCCACTATTACACAGAACACACAACACAAGCGCTTATGGACTGATGGACGCTTCGCCCCACTCATCATTATTCACCCCATGACTCCATGTATATGCTGTGATTTTTTTATTTCGGGCTATATATTTTTTGCGGACAACGGTGGCCGTAGTGGCCAACTATATACACCTCCAAAATTGGTTGTTCGTCTTATCTCATTACATCATTAACTGTACAAAAATATTTCGCTGTAAAGCTTCTGTAACGTAGAACTATAATAAAAATACTTTTAGATTTGCAAATTTTTACCTTACGAGCATGGATTACCTCACTTGTATTCGGTGAATTTAAGAATATGCTTGTTCTCTTTGGGACCCGTCGGAAGAAAGCTTGATTAACAAGTTCGACGAATTCAGAATATACTTGTACTCTTTAGGACCCGTCACAAGTATGCTGAGTAACAAAGTTAGCAAAAATGCAAAACAGAGCAGCCAGGTTTGTCTCGAGTCATTTTGGAAGAATGACACTTCTACCGAAACGAAAAAGGAATGAACTGGGGAGCCTATTTCATCCTGACGTAAACGGTACGTTTGAGGTGGTTATATCAAAGAAAACAGGAATAACAGCGACATTTACTCAAAACAGCATCATTGCGTATCTAGAGGCACAGATCACATACCAAAGTAAGGCCATACCAGACCAGGATGAACCTGTACGCAAATTCGTTTTTTTTTATGAACACTATTAATCAGTGGACAAGTCGGCTGTCTGAGCAAGTGTGCAGTAACAATGAAGATGCCTTTTTTAAATGTTTGTAACCCGCCTGCTTTAATAGCTCCGGGCAACCTGAGTTATGTATGAATAAAGGACAAAGAATAAAGGAATACACGTCAGCTTGATTTCAGGAGTGGAACGCGACAGCGTGTTGAGGCGCTGTATGCATCACCTTTTCAATCGTCGATAGGTTTCATGACTCGGTGGGCACCTCAACCATGTGGCGGGGAGGGATAACGTCTCTGCACGTAATATTGGTTGAGTCAAACCGCCCTATATATAAAGGCTACTGCCGGTGTACGCCCCGCCGCTGAGATCTAGTGGCTAAGGTACTTGGGCTACTGACCCGCAGATCACGGTATCGAATCGCTTCGGTGGCGGCAGCGGCTGAATTTTTGATGGAGGCGAAAATGCTGTAGGCCCGTGTGCTCCTGCAGATTTGGATGCACATTAAAAAACCCCAGATGGTCGAAATTTCCGGAGCCCTTCACTACGGTGTCTCTCACAATCATATGGTGGTTTCGGGACGTTAAACCCCATATATCAATCATCATTACTTCCAGTACATCTGCGATATGCCCACTACGCCATATCTATCTCCGTTTTGCGAAACGACGACATAACCGCTGCGCATGCCAACACGCGCACCCACACACCCCATTGCTGCTCTCGTCGATAATAAAAAAATATGCCTAAGCAAGTTGTATGGGTGTACTTTTAAACTGCCAAATCATTATGCAATTGTCATATTTGTGTTTGGTTCCTTTGCACCGCAATATTAGCTGCGCTAAACTGTCTCTTTGCACTATATAGCATCTGTGAAGGTGTCGCTGTAAAGAAGGCTTCAAAGACGCTTGAGATTCGCCTTCAAGAGTACAATGGAGTATAACCTTGGACGGTGGCACACACCCAGAATAGAACGCGACAGAGTAATCAGGTGCCGTTCATATCGTATTTTCAATCGCTGACTTGCTTTCATTTTCGGAGAAGTTTCAAGCCCTGGTACACAGCTCTGCTGAAGAGAACTCGCTTGCCACGCAGAATACCCCAGTTCAATACCGACTGTGAACCGTGGTTATTTATTTTCATATGTTTCTATTTTTTCGTCTAGACAGCGACGCTGGCAGCGACCCCTAAATAATTGCGAATCGAGCTACTTAACGCTGTCGCGTTAATAACTGAAGTAGTCCCCAGCGTGCTTGTCACTAAGGAGCTTTTGAATTTGGATCCTGTAGCTGGACTCTCGATTCTGGTGATAGCCAGCGGGTGACCCAAGCAATATTATTCGTCTAATAAGAGACCCTTCCACCTTCAATTACCAGCAACATATCAATAAATACCCCCATCTCTCTCTACGTCTCTCTTTCGCATTGTCTTCACTCTTTTCCGAATTCACGTTAGTGAAGCTTACAGAAATTCTCCCATCGCGATATCTTACTGTATAACCTCGCTCGAGTTTTCTATACTTAGCCTGAATACCTGATGGGTTTTTTTTTTTTTCGCTATCTAACTTCACTTTACACGTACGGTTCCAGTCAACTATAACAAGTCTTTTACATAGCTCCTTCTTATGCGAGTCACCATCCGATACATGGCCTGCGCTCAGAGGTGTGTTGTCCCAAGTATTTGAGGAAGACGAACAAGTAGAAGTTCCTTCTGAACCTGCGTCACCCCATCCAGGTGGGCGGAGCACACTGGAAAGAAGGCATCATTACCATCTTAATTACGCTGCCCATAGAGTATACAGCGGCGAGAAAGTTACCTATCCCTTTCATGAGTTTATTAATGGTTCATAATGATTTGAGATTAATTCATATTTATGGTTTAACGTCCCAAAAACACCATATGATTATGAGAGACACCGTAGTGAAGAGCTCCGGAAATATCGACCCCCTGGGGTTCTTTAACGTGCACCTAAATCTGAGCACACAGGCTTACAGCATTTTCGCCTCTATGGAAAATGCAGTCGTCGCCGCCGGGATTCAATCCCGTGGCCTGCGGGTCAGCAGCCGAGTACCTTAGCCACTCGACCTTAAAAAGATTCAGCATGCAGTATCAATCATTGCTCCTAAATTCTGTGTTTCCAAATTGCTTTATGTGTTTTGTTTAAATCATTCTCTTAATTTTTTATATCCGTAGTTTCTGATTGACAATTTCTAATATCTATTTTTTTCCTTTATTCACATTCACACTCATCAATGTACCAGACTTTGTCTAAACAAATGAGGGTATTCTGTTATACCTAGCCTGTTCTTGGCAAATCCCCCCACGCGGATATATGCCCCAGATTCGAGCCTCCACTTCTACTTCTACTGCTACGTTGGTCGCGAAGGAACAGAAGAGGCAAATGACTGAGCGGTTCGTATCCTCCTTTTGCTAGGATTATGTATCACTTCAAAGGCCTAAATTTCGTATAACTAATTATTGGCCAATCCCACTGAGTGGGAAAAAGTCTTAGTGAAGGCATCATCATCATCGTCGTCGTCGTCGTCATCGCCTTTCGCGGCCGATCAAGCCAGTCACCTTGCACATGCACGTGCTACGAGACTTAGGGCGCTCGAGAAGAACCACATCAACGTAACGCCCGCCGAACGACCGCGCAAGACCACCATGGGCAACCTGACGGCCAAGGACACGCCGGACACGCAGACGGGGATGACGAAGCGCGAAGTAAAGTTGGTGCGCCAAACCTGGGACACATTTTGCCACAAGCACCCGGACTTCGGCAGCTTCGTGCTGCTCGCCATGTTCACCAAGCACCCGCACAGCCAGGAGGTGTTCCCCAAATTCAAAGGTTGCGAAGTGCGTGTGCTTCGAGGCGACACCAAGTTCCAGACGTTTGGCAAATCAGTCGGAGACCACCTGGCTGCCATCGTCAACTCGGTGGACAACTATGAAGCCCTCGTCTCGATGACGCGCCAAAATGCGAAAGATCACGCCAAGCACGAAGGAGTCGAGGCGAATCACTTCGAGCTCTTCTTCTCGGTCCTGTTGACCCAGATGGTCGAGAGCAACAAATCGGCCATGACTACCGCAGCCGTTGGCGCCTGGGAGAAAGTGTTTCAAGTAAGAAACGTATCACAACTGGCAGTTCTGTTGCCGGTAACAAAGAAAAAAACGTTAAAGATGTTTCCGTACTTCGGTATTCCAACTGATTGCGAAGCCGTTTGGGGGGGGGGGGCACCACCGCGAGGCCTAAGGGGGACGCGCACTCCCCGAGAGGAAAGGGACGAGGAAGCTATTTCATGTCATACCAGGCGAGGACTCTGATATGATTCGGGCGATCTGAATGCGGAATAGGGTACGGCACAATGCGCCAACTGGTGTACCTGTTTGTTAAGTTACATCGGCAATTTGGTACTTCCATTAGTAGACCACGACAATGAACATAGCTTACGCATTCGGTAAAAAAGTACTGACACGAACTTTGAAAATTTTCGGATTTCTGCTCTAAATAAAAGCACTTGTATCGATGACCCAGGAAAGAGTATTCTGGTGCCGGAAAACGCATTGAGTATATTTTTAATATCGCTTCTCTAAACCCACTTTCGGTTTTGATTTCGAAGGACCAGCTTCACAGCAACGTATCAGGTCAGGCTGACGTATGCCTCAGTGACGTGAGGACTGACACAATCGCAGAAAATCGTGACGTATCAATGCAGCTTCACCATCTGCTGGAAACAGAGACGCTTGCATGTGGGCTCTGATGCTGGATTTGCATCGCGATCTTGTGCTGAAGCAGCATAGAGCGTGGGCCCAGCTTCTGGCACCAGATATAGCTTTTTTGGCTGCACGATGCCAAACTCGAAAAAGTACTGATAGTTCCCGATCCGGTAGCAGTCGGGGCCGAAATGCAGCGAGCGAATCCGTCTTCTCTTGGCTGGCACCCAGTCGCAGCTGCGATCGCGACGCACAAAATCTACCTACACTTGTCTGACCGCCGGGTCGTTCGGGAAACTGTGCATACGAGCGTCGCCCCCGGTCTTGGAATCACAGCCTTTGACGGCACAAGGAGTGGGTGGCATCGCAAAACAGGGATGCGGTGATCCAAAAAACAATGAAAACACACTCGCATACAACAGAGGTGTCTCAGCGCTCAATCACTGTCGATGTGACCACGAAGCGTCGCAGCAAAATGCACAGCGCACAGCACAACTACGAATGACGCTGGTCGGTGGCACACCGCTAGACAGGCAGTCGAGAAGCTGCGCTGGTCGCGCTTTCTTCCATTTTATTTTTGTCGTTGCCCCAGCGCACGCGCATATACATGACGTCACAATTTCCTGTGCACCTGACTTGAAACGTCAAGCGCTGTGCCTGACGGTGGAGCTGCCTTGCAGTAATCAGGAGATGAAAATTTTAAAATGAATTTAAATGTTTTATACGTGTTTCGGGATCCCGGTGTGGGGAGAACTTTAGCACTACTATTCCAAGGAAACGAAACACGTCCATTTGGCCACGCCTCAAAATCGTGTCAGTACTCCTTTAAAAGCGAGGAGAGACCACACGAGTTCCCCTACCAAGCTCGCGCGCTTAGCCGCCAACATTAATATTCTTATTGCGCCTGAATATGTGTTCACCTTATTATTACTGCAAGAACGAACAACTTGAGAATAAAGTTTCAGTTTTAATCGCTTTAATTGACATACTATGTGTGTTTCCCTTGAAGAACCTCTATATCGTTTCGCAGTCTGTGAGTTCTTTTTCTCCGAAGCTGCACTCTGCAGCACCATGGGCTGCAAAATGAATCGATAGTTGTAACCTGAAATATCTGCCTCTCTCTATCAGTCTAGGGACCTCCTCAGAAAGCGTTCCGGAGGACCAGAAATATAAACTTGGTGAGAAATTCCTGAACGGGGCAGTGTGGTGCAGCCGTGACGTTTCGAAAAAATATTTTTATGGCTGCGAAAAAAGTTTCCTTGCCAAAACGATGACTGCAGTTCACACGCAGTGTTTGTGATTTTACGATTCGCAAGCTTCCATCATCCCCTTTCTGCAATATAAAAAATATAGACGCGTTATGACAGTGGAAGGTTGCAATAATGATAGCTGTTGCGTAGTCTGTTTATCCTATACAACCCCATCAGCACGTTGAACGTGGCTAAAACAATGTTGCTTTGGCTCCCTGTCTCTCGCAGACATTGAAAACAGTCACAAGGCAGGCATTCGACGAGGCTGCCGAGGACGCTAAGCACTCAAAACAGGACCAAAGTACCAAGTCGTCGCAACGTCATCACAAGCGGCATTCGTCGTCCGCTAAAGCCGGTGCACCAAAAAGTCTCCTCCCCGGAGAGCCCAGAGTCTCCCAGTAGCCCCACGAGCCACCCCGCCTCGAGCATGAGGAGCCCGTTGGCCGTACAGAGCGTCATCAAGGGGGCTCACTCGGGACGGCAGTCCATTTGGAAAAGTGGTCCTCGAGAAGGGGAAGCCGATCAAGAAGCATGCTTGAGTGCGCCCTTTAACGCTTCCGGGTGGCGCCATTATAGGCTGAGAGAAGCATTATCGCTACAACAGCGTTAAGAATTTCTTCCGCGTAGCTGTGTGTCTGTGTGTCATTTTTACGCCTGCCTACTGAAGGCGCTTACTTTTACACGCGAGACAATTAAGTAAAAACGCAGTTCGATTGTCGCGTCATAGCCACATATTTCGAAGTGATCGTTGCGGAGGCTTGTGAAACGAAATGCGACCATTATGATGTGTATTTTTGCAAGCTTCCTGCACCACAGCTGGTTTTTTAATGCCACCGTGAATCGACCCGCCTTTCACCGAGCGACGATGTCAAGTGACACCATGTGACGTAATGCTTGCTCAGTGGTTATATTCGCGACGAGATCGAGCTATATATAGGTGACAGCACCGTCCCCACGGTAGTGTTGATATATTTGGTTGGCGGCACGTATACAAATACACGCAGCGGCTCTTCGCTGCGTGTGGTTTGAGCCAATGGTCGGCGAATGAAATGCGTTGACTGCAGTTTAATGGTAATATTTACGCTCCTCTCTGCCAAATCGACGCACGAAGCCCATGCAACGTTACTATTACTACCGAGTCAAGCTCGCCCCTGGATGGCTGGCTGCGCGATTTCGAATTAAATCACGCTATTGCTATGTTGTTTGTACGCATTTCGCTTATGTTTTGCCTGCTACACACTCCTCTCGCACGACTCAATTACTTAACACCTTGCTCATTTGAATGCTATAAAAGAAAAAGAAAGAAAGATATCGCTCTTATCGGCACGGCACGCTCGGTGCCACTGTTCGCACGAAACACGCATGCGTATTCTTTACTTATTCTGTACCCCACGGCTCGTGAGACAGTTGATAACTCTAGCAAAAAAAAAAAAAAAGCTTCGTGTTTGACAGCGCTTTGCGTTACATTGACGTTTACCGCATACGCACATATAAAAACTATCAAAAGCTCATAAGAGTTCTGCAGAAAGCATTCATCAAAAGATTACGTGCATATGACAGTGATAAAACGAAGGTCTGCGTGTTTGATGAGAAAAGCCTGTTTTCGTTTTCATTTGTTCAATCAAAAAATGACCGCCCTCTTCCGTCAGTCAATAACAAGGTCACAAAAAGGCTCAAAACAGTGTGAAAAGAAGACATCTTCCGTGAAGTTATACAACAGTAATGTAAGGCACACCGGCATCAGTGCAAAGGATCAACGCTCTTCGTCGCATGGCAGGGGTCCGTTGGGGCAACAATCCTATGTTCATGCTTAAATTGAATGATGCGCTTATAACAAGCCGCATTCTTTATCAGCTGCCCCTGATATCACCATCACCAAGCCAGTTCGAACGCCTAGAGGCAGTGCACAGAAAGGGTCTTCGCTTGGCGATGGGAGTCTCTCAGGCGGCTTCAAACACGAAGGTCACCAATGAAGCCGAGTCTCTTCCGCTCCGCCTTTTGGCATCTCAGGCCTGATGGACGCAGCTGTCAAGACTGGGCGAGTCCTTCGCAGGCACGGCGCTTCTCCGGCGGCTAAGAGCAAGAACTGGCTCACATTTCAACGCGGCACTAAACACATTTCAATATTTAGGCTTGAAACTGCCTAAACGGTCGCCCTATGGACCCGCCATGGTCTTTTGTGGATGTTGCGTGCAACTTCAGCGTACCCAATCTACCAGCGAAGCGCACCATTCCAGCCGCGGAAGCAAAATTTCTTGCGCTGGACCACTTGAGCACCATGTACCGTGGCCACCTACAAGTGTACACCGACGGATCAGTGTGCACACAGACTGATAGCTGCGCAGCGGCTTTCTGCATACCCAGCCTGGGCGTGTCATGGTCGGGCCGCCTGGATCGCGTGGTTTCGTCCACAACGGTAGAAAGCGCTGCAATTATGGCGGCTTTGCGAAAACTGCGATCCTTTTCTGCACGAGATGTTGTAGTGCTGACGGACTCCAAATCGGCGCTACAAAGACTGCATCGTGGCCTACCTCAAGAAAAGTTCACCAGGCAATCTCTGGCACTAATCAAACACCTAAATGGCAAGAGTTTTAATATACAGTTCCAGTGGATCCCATCCCACGTTGGCATTGAGGGCAATGAAAAGGCTGATGCCCTTGCATGCGAAGCACGTACATCGTTTCCAAAAGTAAGAACTCCCAAGACTTACCAGAACAACAAAGATGTGATACGCAATCATTTCAAGGCGATCTACAGGTTTCCACACCAAGCATGTGTAATTCATGGACTTTCTCGTGAAGAAGCGACGCTGTTGTACCGCATTAGAACCGGCTCCGCATACACCCCAGCCTGGTCATTCAAGACTGGGAGATACGCTTCCCCGTTCTGTGCCTTCTGTGGTGACATCGGGGATATTGAACATTTCATTTGGCTTTGCCCACAGTTTGATGCCCAAAGAGCAGCGATGATCCGCACCTTGCGAAAAGGCTGCCATAGGCACCGGACAGTTGATGACATCATCTTTCCTGAAGGACCCGCGGCAACTAGGAGGAACGTGCAACGAACTTTGTTGGTCTTCCTGCGAGACACTGGGCTGTCTGACACGTGGTGACATTTTCCAAATTAAGGAGATGCTCAGGCGGAACAATTGCCGGCCATGCAGGCCAGGCTAACCCCGCCTGCTGCAACACCACCACCACCACCACCACCACCACCCTTAATTTTCAACGTCTGGGTTGTTTAAAGCATTCTTAAATATAAGCGCATGGAAATTTTAGCGTAACATTCACTGCGGAAATTTCACCTCGAAGTTAACAATTGGCACTTGGCAACTCCGTTTTAAGAAGCGTTTAATTACCAAAGTTCCACGCTTTATTTGATGGCATTACCTCTCTGTAGTGGTACCACATGAATAAATCTCATCACATAGTGAAACTATACAGGGTGTCCTACGTAACTTTAGCCCGAGTTTAAAATTATGCCGGGGCACCTAATTACGACGCGACCAAATGCATGTTGCTCACCGTTGGCTGGAATCGGACAATTTCTGTGTTTTCAAATATTAATTAATTAGATCTGTTTTTTCAGCAAACTTTTGAAGGAACGAAGATGGATAAAAAATTTCAATGAGAAAGTTGTAGATCGGCTTGCTAAACGTCCAAATAGATCGTTTTGAACTTTATATCTGTTGAGTATTGGTGTTTTTCTACTAATTACAAATGCCCTCAAAATTGGAAAAATACCACGTGAGAAACCCGCTCGCACATCAGTGCGCACGATGATTCTAGTGCTCCCTAACGTTTCGGCTACCAACGACAAGCATCCCTCACACCGGTTCGTGAAAGCGATAAGCAGTCACAGCGGTTATCGTTTTTGTGGCCGATAGCAAAACGTGTTCATCGTAAAACCATCGCCATTGTTGCGGCCCTGCCGTGAAAGCTCAATGGGGAAAATGCTCTGATTGTTCGCACGCGGAACGCCAGGGAGCACTAGAATTATTTTGCGCACTAGCGCACGAGCGAGTTTGTCACGTGGTATTTTTTGTATTCTGCGGCCATTTGTAATTAGCAGAAAAACACTAATACCTAACAGATATAAAGCTCAAAACTGTCTAATCGGACGTTTCGCAAACCGATGTACAACTTTCTCATTATAATTTCTATCTACGTTTCTTCAACACTTAGTTATTTAAACATATCTAATTAAACAGTATTGGAGAACACAATAAATAGTCTGACTAACTCAAGGTAAGGGTGAGCAACATGCGTTTGGTCGCGTCGTAATTACGTGTTCCAGCATATTTTTAATTTCTGGCTAAAGTTACGTGAGACACCCTGTATACAGTGCTGTAGCTATACACCTAACAACAGCATGGAAGTGCACGGCCTAGAGCCTCGTTTTCATTTACAACCAAGTCGCTCAAATGCAGTATTCACTCGCCATTTATTAGTCTTCGTGTTTGAGACGATGCCAAGTGCATTTATGATGTGCTTGAAGCAGAAAGTGGCACCCACACTTAAATAATTTTCGTAAATGTAGGGCACGACGACATTACACAGCACTCTGTAAAGTTGCCCATCGCTGATCTTATTGCAATACATTACCAGCCGAGCAAGACCAAATGCTTTCATACGTCGTTTCAGGCATACGACAAGCAGTGCTCGCGCTAACATATCAGAACTGATCACCCTTTGCGAACATGCATGACGAACTACTCACCCATACAAACACGACCTGGCTATATCGGGCGACGCGGGGAGCAATGCACACTTAGCCGTTTCGGGCAGTTGCCGCCAACTCTGCTCAATCTCGAGGCCAATATTATGTGAAAGAAGCCTTATTTCAAATAAATCAAGAATAAATAAATTCAGGCAGTCATGCTCGGGCATAAGATTACTTGATAGTAAAGCCCGGTTTACATACCTACGGCTTTAAAAAATTTTAGAGATCTGTAACGTCGTGACGACGTCACACTCTGAAGTCTTGATGCGATCATTTTTCCCATCACCGTTGTTGACGCTGCCGCCGCTGACAGGGCAGGTTTCGAGTTTCACGAGACTCCTGAAAACTGAAACATATGCAGCGTTTTTCCCTCGTTTTCCTCGGCGTGACACTGCCGGTGACGGTGGCCTAAACATTCACTTCTGGACGATGCGGATATTCGCAGCGCCAGCGCCGATGTCAGAAGCAAGTCGACAAATGGAGAACTAATCAGCGCACGGCTGTCAGCGACTTCCGCTACGTAACAGCATCTCTGAAGCTGTCAAAATGGCTGCCACATGCCTCGCATCTATCAAGTCGTCGCCGTGCCCTGTGTGATCCGAAATTCTCAACCGTGCTTATATTTGACTTAGCTGGTTCCTTAGAAGCTTCGACAGGAAGCGCCCAGGATTTCTTCGAAC